ACATTATTATTATTATTATTATTATTATTATTATTATTATTATTATTATTATTATTATTATTATTCATTATCTGGTATTACTAAAAATAACATTACTAATTTTATAAGAACAAGAAATACAGTAAACTGCAGAAATAAAGAAAAACGAATCAATAAACAAAAAGAAAAAGAAAAAAACGGAACAGGGAAGAAAGAAAACTGAAAAGAGTTAATATGGTTCAAGCCAAAACATCAATTAAGAAAGGTAATACAGGCACTAATTAACTAACACACCGCGATGTTTTGGCCCCATTTATACGCCTATCTCATCAATCACTTACGCGGCGTCCCACAGGTGTGCGTTCGGACAGGTAAGGCTCGTGTACATCCGGACAGGTAAAGCTCGTATGCGTCCGGACACTTAAGCTCGTCTGCCGTCAAATTAAGACCTGAAGGAGGGAGGGGGAGAAATGTACCCCCCCCCCCTCAAGGAACTGTGTCACCGAACTGGATAAATTAGTGTAATTATTTCATGTTACCTATGTATGTCTATGTCTTTCTGTGTCTGTATATCTATGTTTGTATGTCTCTCTCTATGAATATATGTCTATGTCTGCTTATGTCTATGTCTCTATCTCTACGTCTGTATGTTTATTGTAAAAAGAAATAATCACCAAAAAATAATTATCCCAAAAAGTTGAATACGGAAAAAAAAAATTACGAAAAAAAAAACTAAAAAAAAAAAACTACCCAAACCGTTACCGGAAAAATATCGAGAAAAATCCAAACAAACTGATCCCCACTAAAAATTAATTACCAGAAATAATATAGTGAAGGGGTTAAGTGTTTAAAGTGTGAGAAGAAATTGCATTACTGGCGACACTAATAGTTTTTCTTCGGTGCAGTTGGCCGTAGTAGTGAGTTAAAAGAGTTTGTGAACAGTTTTGAGAAGTTGGCGGTAACGGATGACGTGTCCTAAGAGTAGAGTGTGTGTGTGTGTGTGTGTGTGTGTGTGTGTGTGTGTGTGAGGCTTATAAATTTACAGTACTAAGAATTTACACAGTCAGTCTTATTTACACAGTCAGAGGCTTATGAATTTACACAAGTCAGTTTTACGAGTGTTTATGGACAGTCTTACCAATTTATACAGTCCCATGAATTAAATCAAGACAAAGACAGGCACGATTTACAACCACACCCATTTACAACTTGCAAACAGGATGTAAATAAATCTAGTCACTTCCCATCTATTGAAATTGAAACTCCCACCCAATAGCAAGTTGGGCAGGACGAGCCGGGAGGGACACATATATTATCCAACTTGTGCCTAAGTTGGGATTCGGTTAGCCAAGTGTGCTGAAAAACCTCCATCAACGTTCAACACAATTAACTACAGGGATGGTGAATATAGAAAACTGAGAGGAATATTATTGTGTTTTTTTCGATTTATAATTATTACTTCTACAAAATATTCAAATTCAGTTATATAAATATTGTAAGGATAATTATTATTCTAAAGTATCAAATATTTTTAGATCTATAATAATTTCTCTCCACAATGCTGGAATTTATTTGTAGAGGAAATATTAAATCCTTCTGAAGAGGGAGAACTAACATAAAAATAACCATAGAACTGATATTAATGACTCAAGTCCATAAGACAAGTATTGTAGAGTCTCCCCTTGAACCATCATCGAGACTACATTTTCTTTAGTCTTATTAATTTTCTATCTGGACACTCGAAATATTTACCAATACATGAACTTATAGTCTAAACAAACTTTCTTATCAGTAAAATCAATAAAAAAAAACACACACAAATGATAGTTTCTTTAATACACAAGATAGAAAAGCCAAAAGTTTTACGACATAGTTTAAGAAGATAAAAACAGAGGTTGAGCTTGTAAATGGTGCAGAAAGAACAACATCTGTCATAAACGCTTTTACTGAAGACTTGAAATGTGTTTTTTTATTTTTTTATTCTGAGGGATGTACCGTAAAGGTTTGGTGTCACGAGGTACTCAAAAAGCCCTTCAAGATTTTAGGGTGAATTTAGTACGGCAATTAAAGAGAGATGACAGGTAGGTGTTCTCTCTCTCTTTTTACACCTTCCTCCTCCTCCTTTGCTCTCTCTGTTTCTTCCTACTCCTTCCTTATTCTATTTCTTCCTTCTTTTACTTCCTTGAACTCTTTTCTATTCTTCCTCCTCCTTTATTGTTCTTCCTTCCTATTCCGAACCTCCCCCTCCTCCTTCCTAGATCTTTTCTATTCTTCCTCCTCCTCTTCCTTCTTGTTACGACTCCCACCTCCTCTTTCTTTGACTCTTTCTCCTCCACCTTCCTTCCTCCTCCTCCTCCTCCTTTTTCCTTACTCTCCTCCATCCTACTTCCTTAATCTCCCACCTACTTCCTCCTTACTTTCCCTCCTCACCTCTTACCTACTTGCTCCCCTTCCTCCTCCTCTCTCCCCTTCCAAGCCATTATTCACCCATTTCCCTCCCTCATCCTTGCTTCTCCCTCCATTCCCTTACCCTTTCCTTTCTCCCCTATTCACCCCTCTCCATAACTTTGTTCTCCCTCTTCCACTACTTCTCCTCCCCTCTTCTTTCTCCAATCCTCTCCTCCCTTCCTTTGCACGTTCGCTACTCTCCCTTGCCAAAAATAACCTAACCTAACCCAACCAAACCCTAACCTAACCCAACCAAACCCTAACCTAACCAAACCCTAACCTAACCCAACCAAACCCTAACCCAACCAAACGCAACTTCGAGCGAGAGAACGTGACAAAAAAAAGTTATCCATACGATTTTCACGGCGTTATAAAATCACCCTGCCAACCTATCAGTATCATTAATCATACTATATCAAGTTATTACCATTATTAATGTACAAATTTATCACCAGCAGTAATTTACACCTAATTAACATTTGCTCATTAGTGACAAATTGAATGTGTTACCAACCAGTGATGATTATAAACGTCATAATGACCACGAGGCAATGAGAAGGTAATTTGCTGAGTAATAATAAACATAATAATAATAAACAATAATAATAATAAATAAAGAGGGAAGGGAGGATGAGAGGGCAAGGAAAGAGTGAACGGGGAAGGGCGAAAAAGGGGAGAAAAGGGTTAATGGAAGGGGGAGAGGGTTAGAGTAAAAGTGGGAAGGGGATTGGGGTAAGTGGGTGGGAAAAGAGGCTGCGGGTAAGGGGGTTGGAAGTAAGGGGGGGGGGAAAGGATAAGGGGTAAGGGGTGAAGGAGAAAGGGAGGCTAACAACACACCCGTTAAGTGTCAAGTAATCCCCCCTCCATAGACAATAGACGTATACCTCACAGGAGATACAATTATTACGATAATCTAATGAATCATAGTTGATAATTTGATTCATAACTGTAGGATTACCACGAAATTCCCCACCACCCCAACACCACCTCTTCCTACCATCATCTTTTTCTTTGTTTTCTTGTTGTTTACTACTGAGAGGTGAAGAGGAACAGCGGTAATCTCTCCCTCCTCTCCCTCCTTCCAGATAGAAATTGCATTCCCTTAAATCATTCCGTTTAACATTGACAAGTTTCCAATGTATTCGCTGCCGTTTTCTTGTTCCCCTACTGAGATGAAGAACGATGTCATGTGAAGGATGTTTGTGTGTCTGTTTTTGTTTTGTGTGTGTGTGTGTGTGTGTGTGTTTGTTTTGTAGTGTGTGTGTTTGTTTTATATATAGTGTGTGTGTGTGTGTGTGTGTGTTTGTTTTCTAGTGTGTGTGTTTGTTTTGTGGTGTGTGTTTGTTTTATATAGTGTGTGTGTTTGTTTTTGTATAGTATGTGTGTATGTGTGTTTGTTTTGTGGTGTGTGTGTGTGTGTGTGTATGAGACAATTTTTCAAGTGCGTTAGATTTTAAGGTGTTAAAATTCAAAGTGCATTAGACAGGACTTTAAAGTGTGTTCAAGAGATTAAAGTGCTTTTCAGATGGGGATTTAAAGGGCGTAAATCCGGTTTTTAAAGTTGGTTAGATCAGATTTCGAATTTAGACAACTTCCGGTTTTTAATATGCGTCTGGATTTTTAAGTGCATCCCGTCAGATTTTTAAGTGTATCACATCAGATTTAAGTCCATCACATCAGGATTTAAAGTGCATCTCATCAGATTTTTAAAGTACATCCCATCAGATTTAAGTACATCACATCAGATTTTAAAGTGCATCCCATGAGATTTCTTAAGTGCATCACATGAGATTTTTAAAGTGCGTCACAAGTGCGTCACATCAGGTTTTTAAAGTGCGTCAGAGGTCACAGGTGGTACGAACCCCAGCACCAAGTGAGGGGCAGGAGCGTGTGACAGGATGAGAAAGCTTAGAGCGACGGCCCCCTCAAGAGCTCCGAGGCTTCTCAAAGATTCTCAATGCTAAATATTTTTCACCCTTACTGGAGATGTGAGGACGCATCTGGCTGACTCACTGAAGCAACGACTCAAAGGTGGATTCTTCAACTGACTCACGGCAGCCACGATACAATGGAGTCTCAAATGTTCCTAAGTTAGGTTTTTCATCATTTTAAAGAGGTGAGTGCCTGACTGACTGACTGACTGACTGACTGACTGACTGACTGACTAACTGGCTGGCTGGCTGGCTGACTGACGACACAAATATAGATTCTCATAGGTTAGTAAGCAAAATTTTCACCCTTATTGAAGATTCAAGAACTACATTTCATCGACTCTATACCGATCTGGAAAGGTAATAACACCAATGAATCGACAGAACAAATTTCATACTCCTACACACACTGGTCATTCATACATCTAAAACACACACACACACACACACACACACACACACACACACAAATTGATTACAGTATCCAACTATTCCTTGTTTCTAGGGTGAGAGGAAAAAGGGGAGAAAAGAGAGGGAGGGAAGGGCAGATGGAGGGATGGGAGGGAGGGAGAGAGAAAGGGAAGTAGGGGAAGTGAGGAAGGTTTCAGGAATGGGTACCAGAAACAGTTACAGTGAGAAACTTTATGGTAATTGTGGTACATCTGCAGCCTCCTGACAGTAAGATCTCTGGTCATAGTACTGCAAGGCGTCTCCTGCCGGGGGTCTGCTGCCGAGGGTCTGCTGCCGGGAGGGGTCTGCTGCCGGGGGGGTCTGCTGCCGGTCTGGCGTCTGCTGCCGGGGGTCTGCTGCCGGGGGCTCTGCTGCCGGGGGTCTGGGGTCTGTGCCAGGGGGTCTGCTGCCGGGGGTCTGCTGCCAGGTCTGCTGCCGGGGGGTCTGCTGCAGGGGTCTGCTGCCGGGGGGGGTCTGCTTCCGGGGGGTCTGTTGCCAGGGGTCTGTTGCCGGGGTTCTGCTGCCGGGGGGTCTGCTGCCGGGGGTCTGTTGCCGGGGGTCTGTTGCCGGGGTCTGTTGCCGGGGGTCTGTTGCCGGGGGTCTGTTGCCGGCGGGGGTCTGTTGCCGGGGGTTTGCTGCCGGGGGTCTGTTGCCGGGGGGTCTGTTGCCGGGGGTCTGTTGCCGGGGGTCTGTTGCAAATTGACGTACGGCACTGTAGGGAGGGGGGGCAGGTCTGCAACACATTTACAGTCCATCCGCTGCCCAAAAAAGAGGAACAAGGGAAGTATAATGATGGTCTGGGTTTACGGGAGTTCACATGTGGGCTTACGTGTATGGGTTACATGTATGATGTATGTGGGTTATGTGTGTGTGTGTTTACGTGCATGGGTTTACGTGCGTGGGTTTGATGACACCAGTCGAGAAATTGCAAGAAAATGTAGAGTCGTAGCTGCGTGAAGGAGAGACTATTGTATCCGCTCGAGGCACAAGGGAAGGCATTGAACGTATACTTGGTGTATTTTTTTACTGCTATCTCCTTACATGATTTTTAAAGTATAATATCCGTATAATAACGTTAAGGATACGCAAGGAGGAAGAAGAGAAGAGGGAAGAGGGAGGAGGAGGAGGAGGGAGGAGAGGAGGAGGAGGAGGAGGAGGAGGAGGAGGAGGAGGAGGAGGAGGAGGAGGTCTTCTATCCAACAAGGAAAACTCCGTCACAATAAAGTTGACAGGAGGTGTGTGGGTGAGAGAAGGGACCCAGTAGCCAGATGGTGAAGCAAATGGCTCGATGTGGTGAAGGAGGAGGAACCTACTACTTGAAGGGTGAGGAACGTACACGGTGGAGGATTATCGCTGGAGGTGGAGAAGCACTACTGTTGAAAGTGACCAAGTGGACTTCAAGTGACTTATCGCGACAGAGGAGTGAGATAATATTGTACACTTAAGAGGAAATGTTGAAAGCTCTTCGTTATATAATTTAAAAGATTCTTACTGGAATATGAAACTTGGTTAGGTTAGGTTAGGTTTGGTTTGGCTAGGTTAGGTTAGGCTAAGTTAGGTTAGGTTAAATCTGTATTTTATAATTAGATACATACATTAAAATATAAAAATAATTTGTTTGTGAAAAAAATTACCTTTACAAACCAAATAACTTTCTAAATAACAAAGAATAAAACTTTTAACATTTATGAACAAAAAATAACAACAAAAACAACAACCCCAAAAGCCATAACTTCAACTATAACAAATGAGATATAACATATTGGTAAATTTACAGTAAACAACATGACTCACTCTCTACTCACTCACTCGCCTCTCACTCACTGTTTACACAACCTGTCCCCATTTACTAATTTACAATATTTACCATTAAAAAAAAATACACAACTGAATACTATTAAACCCGGAAAAAATAATTCCAATTTTACGTTGTATTCGGGAAACGGATATTAAGTCAATGCTGTTCAGGTAAAGAAAAGGTAGACGATGGTAATTACCCCGGGGTCGTATACGTATTAGTTAGGTAAAAGTGCCAAGTGTGATCTCTATTTACCTGAAATTAAATGAACCAGTCAGGTGCGTAAGTGAGAGGAATCATGTGCGTAAGTTAAAGGAATGGTACCAAGTCAGATGCGTAAGTTAGAGGAAAGGTATCAAATCAGCTGCGTAAGTTAAGAGGAAAGAACTCGTCAGATGCGTAAAGTTATAGGAAAGAAATCAAGTCAGATGCGTATGTAAAAGACATCAGGTCAGGTGCGTAAGTCAGGAGGAAAAATTTAACGTCAAAATCTTTGGGAATTTCGGGGACCAGGAATATTGACGGCGGTGGATGAAGGTAACGTAAGTCAGTCACTGGGACGGGAGGAAATGGAACGGTGGTAGAAGGAGATGGAAATGAGGAAGGGATTATATGGAATAGAGATATGAAGGAGATGGAATGGGGGAGGAAATATGATAGAACAGGGGTAGAGGATAGAATGGAGAAGTATTATAATGGAATTGGGATAGGTGATGGAATAGGAGGTGAGATTAAATAGAATAGGGTAAGGGAGATAGAATAGGGAAGAATAGTATGGAATAGAGGTAAAAAAGATGGAATAGGGGTAAGTGGGGTGGGGTGGGGGGGTGGGGTGGGTTGTGGGGGTTGGGTGTGGGTGGGGGTGGGTGGGTGGGTGGGGTTGGTGGTGGGTGGGTAGTTGGGTGGAAGGTGGGTTTGGTTGGGTGGGGTTGGGGGTGTGGGTTTGAGAGGTCAGGTCATCCAATTTTCGAATAGGATGGAATCTAGATATCATTAACAGTCAAGGTATAGAGGCGACTTACTTTTGCCTTTGTGTGGATCACCTGAAGATTAGCTCCTCCCTAATTTATTTCACCTGATGATTAAATATTCTAACGCTAACCTAACCAAACCAAACCAAACCAAACCAAACCAAACCAAACCAAAAACCAAACCAAACCAAACCAAACCAAACCAACCAAACCAAACCAAACCAAAACAACCAAACCAAACCAAACCAAACATAACCAAACCAAACCAAACCAAACCAAACCAAAACCAAACCAAACCAAACCAAACCAAACCAAACCAAACCAAAACCAAACCAAACCAAAACCCCCTCAGGTAACATCAAGGTGTTTAATCATCAGGTGAAATATAAACTGGAGGTGAGCCAATCTTCAGGTCATCCCTTTTACGTTTAGATATATATATGCATTTTAATTGGTATACGCCACGATAGAGTTGGACGACCTCACCTCCCTCCACCCCCAGATCCACCCCCCAGCCATCCCGGCCGTCGGTCTGCCCAATGATGGTTGAGTTCGGTGTAGTCTGTGCGTGGCGAGTCCATTCGGGTACTCTCCTGAGGGCTGCTGGGCCATCTCTGTTAGCCTGGTTCTTGCTCTATTGATCCTTGCAACAGGTTCAACACCGAGGAGGGAGGGGGGGGGAAGCGTGTGTGAGAGAGAGAGAGGAGAGAGAGAGAGAGAGAGAGAGAGAGAGAGAGAGAGAGAGAGAGAGAGAGAGAGAGAGAGAGACATTTGAGTAGGAGAGAGAAACCTTGACGAGATATTAAAATAAGGTTTTGAAGAGTAGAGGAGAGAGAGAGAAAGAGAGAGAGAAAGAGAGATAGGGAGAGAGATATACATATAAAGGAAAAAGAGGAATAGGAGGAGAAGAAGAAGGAGGAGGAGGAGGGGCAGCTTACGGTGGCTCAGAAAAGAGAAGGAGGAAATAGGAAAAGGAAAGGGGATAAGAGAGCTGGGAGAATGGGTGACAAAGAGAAGATTTAGGCGAAGAGTTTGATAAAATTCCAGAGAAAGGAGAAGGACGATAGGGTGTCAAGAGCAATCCAGAGAGGGGAATGGAAGGACGAAGAGAGGAGAGGAAACGAATTTGGGAAGAGGCAGAAGGTGGGTGAAGAGGAGATGAGAAGACGAAGAACGAGAGAAAATAGGGGTGGGGGTGGAGAATAGAAGAAAGATAAGAGAGGAAATATCAGATAAATCAAGGAATAAGGATAAAAAAAGAAAGTGACACAGGGAGGACTGATAAACCAACGAGAAGAAGAAGGAGAAGAAGGATAGAACTCATTATTCAGAGGAGATAAATGAAGGAAGAAGGAATTGGATGATTGTCTGGGGATAGAAGAAAGGATTACAGGAACAGTGGTTAGAAGAGAGAGAGAGAGAGAGAGAGAGAGAGAGAGAGAGAGAGAGAGAGAGAGAGAGAGAGGAGAGAGAGATGATGTTGGGGAAAGGAGACGAGAAAATTAGCTGAAATTATTCAGCAGAGGTAAGGAGGAGGAGGGAGGGAGGAAGGGAGGGGAGGGGAGGGAAGGAGGGGAGGGGAGGGAAGGGAGGGAGGAAGGGGAGGGAGGAGGGAGGAAGGGGAGGGAGGAGGGAGGGAGGAAGGAGGGAGGAGGGAAAGAGGGAAGGAGGGGAGGGAGGAAGGAGGAGGGAGGAGGGGAGGGAGGAAATTGGATGACTGGGAATATAGATGAACAAGATTTGGGAAACAGAAGAAGAGGAGGAGGAAGAAGAAGATGAAGAAGAGGAGGAGGAGGAGGAGACGAGGAGAAAGAGGAGGTTTCACAAGGCAAGAGGAAAAACAAAATAAAGAAGAGGAATTAAATTGGAAGTTAAAAGGGAAATAGGGAGAATGATAAACAATAGAAAAGGCGGAGGAAGAGGAAGAAATGAAATTGGACTTAAATCAAGAGATAAGGAAGACGAAGAGAAGAAGATTTAGAGGGAGAAATAGAATTAAGAGGAAAAATTAATAAAACCGAAAGAAATAGGATGAACAAAGAGACGGAAGAGAAAAATTGGACGTGAATCTAGAAATAGGGAAGAGGAAGAAGAGAGAAGGAAGAGAAGAAGAGGAATAAATAATAAAGAGGCCAATTTAGTAAAATCCTAGAAATATGATAAAGTCGAATGGGTCTTCCAGCAGGAGAGAGAGAGAGAGAGAGAGAGAGAGAGAGAGAGAGAGAGAGAGAGAGAGAGAGAGAGTCAAGAGGAACGAGAAATGAGAGAAAGAAGCTGGAAAAGCCAAGGAGGAGAAAGGGAGGTGAGAAAACTGATGAAATGAGACTGATAGGAGAGGAGAAACTGTGTTGTACCTGAAGTCATTATCACCTGCCACCTGCTGGACAACAGGTAATTTACTAAGGCAATTAACATTTCCCATTACAATAAATAGAGAGAAAGAGAGAGAGAGATGCTGTGAGAGAGAGAGAGAGATGCTGTGAGAGAGAGAGAGAGAGATGCTGTAGGAGAGAGAGAGAGAGAGAGAGAGAGAGAGAGAGAGAGAGAGAGAGAGAGAGAGAGAGAGAGAGACTGGAGAATAACAAGGAATTGGAAATACAGAAAATGAAAGAAGAAACACTAGCGATAAGAGAGAAGGGGAAGAGGGGGAAAAGGGAGAAAGAGAGTAAGAAGAAGATAAAAAATGTGGGGCTTCCAGAATTGGGTTTGCGTTGATCGGCAAAGAATGACGGAAGGAAGGAAGGAAGGAAGGAAGGAAGGAAGGAAGGAAGGAAGGAAGGAAGGGGTGGAAGGTGAACGTGACTGAAACTTAATAACATGGGACAGGTATACAGAGAAAGGGGGGGAAGAGAAAGACTTGTAAGAAAGAGGAAGAAGGAGGCGGAAGAGAAGAGGAGGTGAAGTTGGAGGAGAAAAAGAATAGGAGGAGAAGTAGGAGGAAGAGAATAGGAGGAGGAGTAGGAGGAAGAAGGAAAAGGAGGTGTAAAAGAAGAAGAAGAAGACGACAAAGAAGAAGAAGAAGAAGAAAGAAGAACTACCACGACCTTAGGGTTTCCAGGATTGGATTTTAGCATTGATCGGAAAACAAGAAAGGGAGGAAGAGGGTGAGGAAGAAGGAGAAAGGGGGAGGAAGAAGGAGGAAGAGGGGAGGAAGAAGGGTGGAGGAAGAGGGTGAGGAGGAAGGGAGTAAGAGGGTGGAGGAAGGGAGAAGAGGTGGAAGAGGGTGAGGAAGAGGGTGAGGAAGAAGGAGGAAGAGGGTTAGGTAGAAGGGAGGAAGAAGAAGAAAGAATGAAAGTGGGATTGAGGAAGAATAGAAGAGGGGTGAAAGAGGGGATAAGGGTGAGGGATAAAGGAATAAAGAATGAAACTAGGGTGAAAGGAGGAAAGAAGGACGAAAGAGGGATGGAATATGAATGAATGAAGAGTAGAAGGAGGAAGGGGTGAAAGAAGTGAAAGGAGGATGAAAGAAGAGAGGTGTGAAAGGATGAAAGGAGTAAAAGAGTGAAAGAGGTATGAAAGAAGGGTGACAGAAAGGTGAAAGTGGGGTGAAAATGAGGTTAAAGAAATGAAAGAACGGTGAAAGAGAGGAACCAGGAGGAGAAGTACAACACACTACGACTGGGTAGGAAAAGTCCCCGAAATATCTCAACGAAACTTTGGGGTTAAAAGCTTCTGAGTCATTAAGCGTGAGAATGTTAGAGAAAATTGATAAGGAGAGAGAGAGAGAGAGAGAGAGAGAGAGAGACTGACTTCATGAACCCAAAAAATAAAAACAAGTAAAAATCAGCAGGATATTTATTCACACAAAGTCTAAGACGAGTTTGTGAGTCACTCCGAGAGAGACCATTTACTAAACGCCCAGATGAAAGTTGACTCCGGCTTTTGTAAGTACTTAGGAGAACGGCCGAGTTGTCCTTGAATACTGAAACAAGTGGAAAGGTTTTAAACTCAGTCTTATTTGGTGGGCGGGTCGTAGTGGTGATGGTGGATATTGACCAAGTCATTTCAGAAATTGTTTGGTTATTATTATCATCATCCTCATCATCATCATCATCATCATCATCATCATCATCATTATTGTCCAACCACATCATTAGATAATTAAATTTTCGTATATATTAATGTTATTGAATACTCCTTCCAAGTTTCGACCGTTTGCACCTGGTAACGGCTGGTGTGTGAAGATATTAACACGAGCGGCGTCCTCTGGTACGGAGGTTCGAATCCTAGACGAGGTGTTCTGACACATAAAAGAAAATCATATAAATACGTACAATCAATCATACTTACTTCATCCTTGAGTAAATGATCGTAAAATAACTCGTGGGTGAAATAACAATTATAGCGAATATTGTAAGTTACATATCGGTGGGCGGCAACCCTGTTGACAATGGCAGGCGACAGTCTGACCATCAAGCATACAGTCAACAGAGAGACAGTGGGGACCCAAGGCAGCAACGACGAGGAGCAGCGTGATACAACAAGATTAATGTTGAACGGAACGAGACAAACACGAAGAGCGCGTCGAGAAGGGCGACGGAACAGCCTCAGTCGGCAGGAAACTCGGCTGGAGAGAGAACGGGAAACAAAAGCCGACCGGGAGTTAGAAACTGAGACACAAAGGGTAAGGTCTCATAAAAGGAGTAGAAAATGCCGCAGTAATGGCCAAGATTCGGACAAGCCATTCACTGCCTCGCCTCGGCCTGGGGGCTTTATCGTCCATAACGAAGTGGACGCGCCATTATCCCAGGCCAGAGAGAGAGAACGAGAGAGAGAGAGAGAGAGAGAGAGATCTTGTCGTTACTGCTAAAATAGTCCTGGCCTATGGTGCCAGCCACGACAAGAAGGGCTAGTCCACGACCTGAGTCCTACTCGTGTTAGGTCTTTGTCACTATACCTACCATGGCTATATGCGCGCGCGCGAGAGAGAGAGAGAGAGAGAGAGAGAGAGAGAGAGAGAGAGAGAGAGAGAGAGATTTAGTCTGGGTTTAGTTACTACGAGGCTACTCAATAGTCTCGTCTACAGCATATCCTAACGAACCATTATGACAACACATCCTAACAATACATTCTAACGACACATCCTACCGACACATCCTAATATTTTAACGACACTTCCTAACGACACAGCTTGACGACGCCTCCTAACTATTACATATAACTTGTGAAGGCGTGGTGAAGTAGACACATGATTCCTCTTAGCTCTTAACAGAACAGCTCCTCCTCCCAAGCGGCCTCAACTTCACCTCTTCCTCCCCACCGGCCTCAACTTCAGCTCATCCTCCCGAACGGCCTCAACTTCAGCTCCTCCTCCCCAGCGGCCTCAACTTCACCTCTTCCTCCCCACCGGCCTCAACTTCAGCTCATCCTCCCGAACGGCCTCAACTTCAGCTCCTCCTCCCCAGCGGCCTCAACTTCACCTCTTCCTCCCCACCGGCCTCAACTTCAGCTCTTCTTCCTCCCCAGTGGCCCCAACTTCAGCTCTTCCTCCCCAGTGGCCTCACAGCTCTTTCCCCCCAGCGGCCTCTGCTAACTTCAGCTTCTTCCTCCCAGCGGCCTCAATCTCCAGCTCTTCCTCCCAGCGGCCTCAACTTCAGCTCTTCTCCCCAGCGGTCTCAACTTCAGCTCTTCCTCCCCAGTGTGCCTCAACTTCAGCTCTTCCTCACCAGCGGCCTCAACTTCAGCTCCTTCCTCCCCAGCGGCCTCAACTTCAGCTCTTCCTCACCAGCGGCCTCAACTTCAGCTCTTCCTCACCAGCGGCCTCAACTTCAGCTCCTTCCTCCCCAGCGGCCTCAACTTCAGCCCTTCCTCACCAGCGGCCTCAACTTCAGCTCTTCCTCTACTTCCTGGCATCATTTAAGGCCTCGGCTATTGGACAGAAAGAGGCATCACTATCCACTGTAAACCAGACACTTAATCCACATTATAACAAGACGCCTTCCTACCAAGTCCCAGCTGGACCACATCCTAAAGATCCCAGCAATAAATAGAGAGACTTGGGCATCACATTCCCAGAGTAAAGTTGTGAGCTGAGCGTTTTTAGTAAGTCTCACAGTGTATTTCCTCCCACACGCTCTTTTATATCCCAGCAATACAATAGCAAAAGGTTCTCTCAGTCCCAGGATAGAAGAGCCAGCAGCCACTGTACCTGACAAATTGAAGTGATTGACCCCAACAGCAGGTCGAGTAACGTTGTGTTCTCATCAATCTTTTCCCGTGGCTTGTTTCCTGGTCGACCCATCCCGCCACACCACTCCAAGCCCTTAGAATAAGACATACAGCAAGAAAGACAGACAGATAGACCAAACCCTTTAGACAGGACAGACAGAAAGACATACAGACACAGATAAACCTCCAAGAGCTACCAATCGCTGGTGTTGCTCCTTTGTGACGCCAGCTGATGGCTTTGACATGACTCAGTCCTTGTAGATCAATAGGTCCCAGATCCTAGAGATCACAACCTAACAATTAGGATTGGGGTTCGTTAGGATTAGGAGCCCCTTAAGATTTGGATACATTAAGGTTGCGGTCCATTAGGGTCGGTGGCCCACTAAGATTCGGACCTACAAAACCTGAAACCCATTTAGTTTGGGGCCCATTAATCTTTGATCCTAATAGGACTGGCAGCCATCACAGCAACTGACACCCATTACACCTGGCTCACATTACAACTAGCACTCATCACAACCAGTATCTATTATAACCGCCATCCATTACAAACAATGGGGCACTCTTACGACTGAGATCCATTAGGCCTGACGCTCCAACTCAACGGCTAGTTTATCTTGGGGGGTCTATAGAGAGAGGAAACCCACTCGACCAGTCAACCCACAGGCGTGCAAGGAGTTCCGGGCAGACGCTGGGGACCGGACGAGTCTAACAACATGTAAACAGTGACGAGGCAGAGCTGCTGTGTTGATCCAGTCAGTTATTTGTTGTTCTGAACACCAAGAGAATTTTATTTGAATTTTAAAGAATCGAATTTGGATTTGGATCTAATTCCATTATTAACTTGACTCGCCACATTCGCTCCTCCCCGGTTGACCTATTCATGTCATCTTACCCCAGAGTTACTTGAAGGAAGGAAGGAAGGAAGGAAGGATAAAGACAGAAAAGGAGAGAAGGGGGGAGGGGAGGGAGAAGAAAGGAAGGACGGAAAGAAGGAGGGTAGGAGAAAGGATTAAGACGGAAATAGGGAGGGTAGGAGAAAGGAAGGAAGGAAAGAAAGAAGAAGACAGAAATAAAGGAATGAGAATAGCACTTTAACATACGAATATCTGGCACTAAGGAGGGTAGTGGCACCCGTGATAGCACAGAGAACACAGTGCCAGCCTCCACGGTAATGTACCTTGATTATTGGCGGAGCTGTCTGGCATATATAATGCTGTTTCCTGGCACGGGGAGGGGGGGACGGAAGGAATGGTAGGGGGGAACGGAGGGGGAAGGAGGGACAGGAGAGGAAGGAATGGGGAGGGGGGGGACAGGAGAGGAAGGGAAATGGGGAGGGGAAGGAGGAGATGGATTTACTCCTACTCTACCTACCTACCCTCCTCGACACACAGCCAGGAGAGCGGGGCGTGTGGCGAGGTGGTATTTTAGGGGTGAAGGAAGGTAATTTGCATACACGGCTTTACCTGCGTGGATTGTTAAGCAAATGGCCAAATTAAAATTCAGGAAACGACAAATGATTACTAAGATTAGTTTTTTTCTTGAAGTTGTTTTAGTTGTTGTAAGGGAACAAGTGAGAGAGAGAGAGAGAGAGAGAGAGAGAGAGAGAGAGAGAGAGAGAGAGAGAGAGATTACTCTTACAAACACGAAACAAACACCATATCTTCTACAACCAAACAATAACACATAACCCCTTTGGTGACTGTGAAACATCAGTGAAACATCTGCCGACATTCCACCTCACGCCTGGTTCAACACCTCATCTCCCTCGACGACCCAAAATCCCTCAATTTTCTGGAATATTCATTTTTTTCTCTCCACACATTTCCAAAAAATCTAAAATAAATAACTTTTTTTTTCAGACGGAAGACCAATTTATTTTGCCTTGGTTATAAATCCTCTAATCCCCATAAAATAAATAATGTATTAATAAATTTACTTAAAGGTAAACAAGGAAAGAAAATCAATTTAATCTTGACAACAAATTATTATTTTACCTTAATTTTAAATCCTTTGGTCTATCAAGGGGAAGCTAATATGCATACACCCTCGGCATGGAAGGAAAAACGGTAAGATTAGATTTCAGAAAGTAATAACAGTTCTGGGAATCCTTTAAGTGGGTGAGAGAGAACACAACCTATTTACAACTTAATATAAAGGATAAGATTTCGGTGTCAAGTAAAATACAATCCTGAACACGTAAACATCTTGTACAGCACGTGGTAGGTTGAGAGGGTATTGTTGATCTCCTGAAGCGGCGGTCAGTCTCGTCTCCTGGTTCGCTAAGGTGTGTGTGTGTGTGTGAGGGGAGGGGAGAGGACGGGGGGGAGGATCGATGGGTCTTGACGTGTGTGTTGGTGACGTGGAGGACGTCTGTTTAGAACGTGGGCGTCGACGATGGTTTAGTTCATTGTTGGGTGAGAGGTGAGGGGTGAGAGGTGAGGGGCGCAGGGTGAGGGGTGAGAGCAAGAGTGAAGGGTGGATAAAGAGGGAGGGGGGGGGTGAGACAGGAGGAGCGAGAGAGGAAGAGTGAGGCGTGAGTGATAGGTAGTGACGGGCGAAGGGTGAGAGACGAAGGGTGAAGGTTGAGAGATGAAAGGTGAAGGGTGAAGGGGGAGATGCAAGGTGAAGACAGAAGGATGATAAGTGAGATGAAGGGTGAAGATGGAAGGGTGAGAGGTGAAGACTGACAGGTTATTAGGATACACACCGCCGCTGGCTCAAGAGGACTCGTGTGGCACAAGAGATCAAAGGTACAAATGAAACAGGTAAATACGTGGAAAAAGGGAAGTGATGAATTTAGGAAGAGGCAATCAGTGGAGGAGAGAAAGAGGAAAAAATAAATAAACCCAAGGAAAGACGGAATGAAGAAGATTGATAATAACCGAATGAACTAACGGAAGATGAGACGAAGAATGGAAATAGACACCGAATGAGAGAACAGAAGAATGGAACAATAAACAGAGACAGAAGTAAGGAGAGAGGAGATAGAAACTAAGGAATAAAGTAAGGAAGGATAGAAAGAATAACAATTTTTACGCAAATAAATGATAAATACACGAAAATAAAGAATGAAATAAAATAAAGTGAAAGAAAATAGTTAATGAAAACAATATTAAAGAAAAGACAAAACAGGATAATGAGAGAAAAAGGAGAAAGTGAAAAACAAAACACAAAGAATCAACAACAATAAAGAAATATGGGAAAAAGAACGACGAAGAATAAAAGAAAAAAAGAGAGGAAGTAACTAACAAAATGGAAATAAAACTGGGAGAAGGGGAAAGAAGTGCAAACAACTGGAACAAACAAACGTGAGAGAGAGAAAAAAAAGGTGAAGAGGGGGAAACAAAATATAAAAAAATAATAAAAAAATGGAGTAAAAACAACAAGCAAGGAAAATGTATTCATATTTATATTAAAAAAAATGGGACTGGTAAATAAAAACAAAAAAATATAAAAAAAACTAAAGAAAACGGGAAATGGGTTTAGGGTTCCCCACTGTCATAGAAAACGGGTCGTAATTATCCATAATATACGAATAAAAGATGAAAGAACACACAATAATGATGATACACAAAAATTAAGGAGCACCTGAACGATAGAACACAAGAATGAAGGAACACCTGAATGATAGAACACAAGAATGAAGGAACACCTGAATGAAGGAACACATGAATGAAGGAACATCTGTATGAAGGAACGCAAGAATGAAGGAACACCTGAACGATAGAACGCAAGAATGAAGGAAGATCTGAACGATAGAACACAAGAATGAAGGAACATCTGAACGATAGAACACAAGAATGAAGGAACACCTGAATGAAGAAGAAAAATATGAATGAAAAGTTACAAATTACAAAACAAATCAAGTCATAGCTTCAGGGGCTTAATGTTAGCTTAATTATACGATCATGAATTATACATCAGCTATAATTCACAACTACAATAAGTTATAGCTGAAGAATACACAAGCTTCATGATATTTCTAGCCAATTATATCACGGCTAAGAAGCTATAATTATTCCCATACGTTCAGGAATTATATAACAGTTATACGTCCCAGCTATAATGGACTTTAGCTGAATTATTCACGGTAACGATTCCAGCTAACGATTTCACAGCTCTCGTGAGATGTACAGGCAATAGTACGTCACAGCTTTCAGTACAGGATCATAGCTGAGTTATACAAAGCTAAAAAGTGTATGCAGGCGTCATGGGCATATATATATTCAAGCTATTTATACCTACACAGCAATAATCCCAACTTTAGCTGTGGCAGAAAGCTATGCAGTTATCGTACTCATGGATTCAGGCTATATAAAAAACCTTACAGCTATAATTCGGACACTGTGGTGAGGAGTTACCTATTCCCCCCACAGCTATAATTCGGACACTGTGGCGAGGAGTTACCTATTCCCCCCACAGCTATAATTCGGACTCTTAACTGTGGTGAGGAGTTACCTATTTCCCCCACAGCTATATTTCGGACTCTTAACTGTGGCGAGGAGTTACCTATTCCCCCCACAGCTATAATTCGGACTTGAGCCAAATTATAGAGCCAGATCAATGACGTCATGGAGTCGACCTATCATGCCGAGAGATTTACGGAGCCCTCAGAAGGATAACCCATGAAGCCGGGTCTCAGCTCCGGGTCTCAGCTCTCACCTTTACCCAGACACCAGCTGCTTCTCTCCCCCCCCCTCCTCCTTCCCTCCACCCCCCTTCCTCCACCCCCACCCCCTTCTCCATTCCTCCCTCCCTCTTCTCTCTCCCACCTATTCTCTCCCATCTTCCCTCCAGTCCTGTTGGTGGATGGGGGAGA